AAAAAATAATGTAAATAATACAATAATAATAAATGATAATACAAAATAAAAACAATAAAACGAGATACATAAAAAGCAGAAATAAACCGTTTGAAAAAGGGATTGAACGAAGCAATTGTGGAAGTGAAGGAACCGGTAACAATTTGTTATCAATAGTTATAATTATTACAAACTATACAAAACATGTCAAGATAATAACATCACTAAACATAAAGTTTAAGTTATGGCAAAATAAATCTGATTTTTTTTATTTTCTTTTAATCTACATTATGTACCCAAGATTATTATATTTTTCGTTCTGGTTTAAAGTAGTTTGAGATGAGCGTTTGCAGGTGGAGCTCGCACACACCTGTAGCCTGCGTCTGGCGGCGGCGGCGCAGACACGGTGGGACTCCGGTGTGGATTGGAGTAAATGAGGTCTGTGGAATGTGAGAGCGGGGTAATGACGGCAGGACGACAGGCGTAACCAGCTATGGCCAGACTTCAGAGGAGCGGGGATCCCTCTCCACACTCCCTCTCTGCTCTGTTTCTCTGTTTCTATACTTACAGTTTATTTCTAAGTCATTGGAAGTATTTAGTTCTACCCTTCATTTCCATGGTCTTCCACCAGAGAGGAGCAAGCTGTAGTTACCGTAGCAACACACCGTTTAAATGCTAGCAGTTAGCATGAGATAGCTTTTCAACCAACCCTAATCCTAAACCCAATGGGATTCTGAGAGATTCCTGCCAAAAAAAAGGTTAGTTTTCCACCAGTATTCTACCTTTCAGTATTTTCTTTATTCACCAATAAGTGCTAAAACTGGTGAAAATAACTGAAATATAGAAAAAAACAGTTGGTTAAAAGCTAACTGCTGCAAGTAAACAGTTCGTTGCTATGGTAACTACGGTCAGTTCTATGATGGGAAACCAAACACACTCGGCTACAAATCAGTCCAGAAACAGTCCAGGACCAGTCCAGAAACAGTCCAAAACCAGTCCAGGATCAGTCCAGAACCAGTCCAGAACCAGTCTGAAACCAGAACCAATTCAAAACCAGTCGAAAATCAGTCCAGGCAGGACCAGTCCAACACCAGTCCTAAACGAGTCCGAAATCAGTCCAAAACCAGTCTGAAATCAGTCCAAAAACAGTCAAAAAACCAAAACGATCCCGGTCCAAAACCAGTCTATGACTAGTCCAGAACTAGTCCGAAGCACACAAAACAACATCATTTAAGTTGCTGCTTCTGAGCTAGCTTAAATGCTTGAACATCCAGTGGTGTAAATGTTGTCGTGTGGGTTTTTTTTCTAGTTAAAGTTTAGAACAGAAACAACTGTGTAATTGCAAATTGTTTTAATCAACGTTCCCTGTTCATGGCCACAGTCGTCTGTTTAATAAAAGTTGAGAACTCTGCAGACGTGCAAACACAGAGGAAATGTTTTGTTTTATCTCGGTTTCTGAATCCGACCACAACCGCGAACATCCTGTTGGAGCCGACGCGACAGACTCGATAAAGGCCTGTTTTTACAACACGACTTAGTCACTGTGATATAGAGTCATTTCATGTTTTATTCTGGAGAAACTGGTGAAATTAAATGTGTTTCTATAAAGCTATTGAAGAAAGAGACAGGCAGCAGCGATCTCACACACTTGTAACTTAACTTATTTCCAAGTTATTCCAATATATATTTTTTTGTTTGTTTTGTTCAATATATTCTAGTATAGCCCTAAATCACAACAGTGGTTATGTCGGAGGACTTTACAAAACCGTTGAATTTCTCCTAAAGGGATCAATAAAGTATCTATCTATCTGTTATGGAGAAGTATAGATAGGTCACAGCAGCAGAGGTGGAGTAGCCTCTGGGTGGAGCAGGACAGGTCACAGCAGCAGAGGTGGAGTAGCCTCTGGGTGGAGCAGGACGGGTCACAGCAGCAGAGGTGGAGGAGCCTCTGGGTGGAGCAAGACAGGTCACAGCAGCAGAGGTGGAGTAGCCTTTGGGTGGAGCAGGACAGGTCACAGCAGCAGAGGTGGAGTAGCCTCTGGGTGGAGCAGGACAGGTCACAGCAGCAGAGGTGGAGTAGCCTCTGGGTGGAGCAGGACGGGTCACAGCAGCAGAGGTGGAGTAGCCTCTGGGTGGAGCAGGACGGGTCACAGCAGCGGAGGTGGAGTAGCCTTTGGGTGGAGCAGGACAGGTCACAGCAGCAGAGGTGGAGTAGCCTCTGGGTGGAGCAGGACGGGTCACAGCAGCGGAGGTGGAGTAGCCTCTGGGTGGAGCAGGACGGGTCACAGCAGCGGAGGTGGAGTAGCCTCTGGGTGGAGCAGGACGGGTCACAGCAGCGGAGGTGGAGTAGCCTCTGGGTGGAGCAGGACAGGTCACAGCAGCAGAGGTGGAGTAGCCTCTGGGTGGAGCAGGACGGGTCACAGCAGCGGAGGTGGAGTAGCCTCTGGGTGGAGCAGGACGGGTCACAGGTAAACACAGCGCTTACAAAACAGAGTAAAGTGGCCATACCTGCAGGTGAAAGCCAGATTCCGTCAGACCTCTAAAGTTAAGCAAGACAGGGCCTGGTTAGTACTGTGATGGGAGACCTCTGGGAACAGCAGTTGCCATAGTGGGGAGTTTGTTAAGTGCCAAGCTGTTGTGTGTCCTTCACCATAGACCGTGATTATAAATGAACCTAGTCACACCTATCTCCATTCTAACTAATGTGCCACAACTTCCTCGGGCTATGGGCAGTTTCAAAATGGCCGCCGGGCTGTTATAGAATTATATACCCCATGAAGGAGGAAACTCAAAGGTCCTTTGTCTGGTCAAAAGCGTAAGTTTATTGTTCACGCACGTGCGGAGGGCCAGCACATCCACTCAAAAGCAGCATGTCCCAGCTCTGGGGGCCAGAGCCCCGAGCTTCCTGTATACAAGACACACACCAAAGATAGTCACGCCCACAACGGAGCGGAGGGGGCCACCGGTGAGGAGGCGCACAGGAAGCGCCGGCGCTATCCCCTGTGGTGGCAGTGGCATGGGGTGTGAACAGACAGACAATGGTGGAAATGCAGGTCATACAGATGCAAGACGGAAAGACACAAGGGTGTGACAGACAGCAGGGACCTTCACAAAGCTCAGCATGGCGTCAGAAGGTCGTCTGCATTGATAAAAGGCCTTTGACGTCCGTGTATTTGCTGCGGCTGGTTTTTAATGTAATTACTCCAAAAACTGTCACCACACTCCCCTCTTTTGATAATTCAAAACCATTTTTGCATTAATCAGTTAAATACCAGAGGCATCGTAATCACACCACCTTCAAGCTTGAAACACTTAAATTATTGCTGTCCAAAGTGGACAAGAAAAGAAACATGCTTGTCAATAAAAGAAAGAGCACATTATAATAACACAATGGATCCGGACAGCGATAAGAGAAGGCAATATTAACATAATAAACACGGTCAGCACGGAAAGTAGTGTCAGTGTGGCCAGCATAACAGTCCAAGGGCCCATGCCGGTCTACGTTCGGTAGTCTTTTCCGCGGGAATACTCACGAGCAGTGCCGTCTCGCAGTCAGTGGCACCGCTCCCTATGAGCGTGTGTGGAGCGTTAGTGGTCATGGCGATGTTTGGTCTTGGAGCGGCAAGACTCTAATCGCGTTGAAGCCTTGGCCTCAGCACTCGGTTGGGCAGAGTGCTCGGGGTTTGGGGTGTGGAGACCATGGCTTGAGCACGCTCCAGATCGGCCAGGCCCAAAGCTCGTTTGATGGGAGACCTCATGACAGCACGCTTCACCATGTGCCTCATCAGGAACTGTAGAGCAGCCCTCATCTCCACCTCCTCCGGACACACGGGAGACGAGACACCAGGGGGGCACTCCAGCAGAGCTCAAATCTGCATTATGGCCAGAGGGAACAAGCTCTGGAGAAATCTTTGGAATGGGCAGCAGCTCTGCATACTTGCTGCAGCTGAGCAGAGCGCTCAGGGCCTTCATGGCTCCCAAGCCTTCGGATCCGGGGGCTGGGGAGTTGGGCAAAAGGGGGGTCGCCTCGGGAACGCTGGGATTCTCTGGGTGTTGTTGTTGGCCTGCTTCACCGACGGTGGCCGCACGCCAGCCGACTTCTTCATCGTAGGGAGCCGCGGATGGGCCTGGTCCGTCCGCGCCCTCGGTGTCCTCGTCTATGGCCCTCAGTGGCAGCACCGCACGACAGTGGTTGGCGTGGATCCAAGTTGTCCTCTCCGCGACCTTAACGGCAGTGTCCGTCACCAGGAGGGCGAGGAATGGGCCGAGCCAGCGCTTGGACCGCCAATGCTTTCGTCTCGTTTCCTTCATCAGGACCCAGTCGCCTGCGCAGCCTGTGGCAGGGCGCTCCTGACCTGGGCAGAAATAGAGGACAAAAGTGCATTAATTTCCTTACAATAGGACAGCATGTCGTCATCACACAAAGAGGTGCTTGGCAGATCTCTGTTCGGGGGTCCCGCGCCCAACGTGGGGCTAGCGGCAGAGCTTTGAGTGCCATTCTCTCGCTCGCACGTGCCTCCGGACCAGGGGGCGTAACTGCAGTGTTTACGTATATCAATGCCCAGAAATTCACCCACTTCCTCAATGACTTTTGCTACAAAGTGACTCACCACCGCGTTGCTTGTGGCGTGTATGCCTGCAAATACTTCAGTCCATTTGGACCAGAGATCCGCCAAGACCCAGACAGTATTACTTACCTTGGCATGGTGTGAGTTCAACAAAGTCCCTTTGGACATGTTGAAATGGGCGCAGGGGCGGAGGATGAGCAGCCTGTTGGATACTTTTGGGACTTACCTGGGTTGTGCGCGGGGCATATAGCGCATGTTTGGCTGAATCTCTGTGCAAATGCCGTAAACCCCTTTGTATACCAATTTTGTGTGATTAAATCACACATCATCCCTCCTTTTGAGGCATGGTCTCGACCATGTGCTAAAATTGCAAACTGTCTGAAGAAATGCCGTGGTAGGCACGGTTTGCTGTCTGGTCCCAGCCACACACACCATGCCGTCGTTGAGCCCCATTCCCCTCTCACAGCAGCGTCTCTGCTGGAGTAGAAAATATCAACGTCTTGAGTGAGGTAGTGTGTGTGTGTGTGTGTAGAGGTGCGTATGCCGCTGCCTTGTCCGCGCGCCGATTCCCTGCAGAGATGGGATCAGTGGCATTAGTGTGGGCCTGGCATTTGCATACAGCGATCTCTAAGGGCAACATTACAGCTTTCAGCAGACGTTCAACCTGTGTGGAATTAAGAATTGGTTTACCATCAGATTTCATAAAATTGCGGTGTTTCCACAGTGCTTCCCAGTCGTGCACCACAGAGAAACCATAGCGCGTATCACAGAATAGGTTAACAGTTTTGCCCGCTGCCAGCTCACACGCCCCGGTGGGCGCGACCAGCTCAGCGGTTTGTGCTGAGTGGTAGTGGGGCAAACTACCAGAGTCTATAGTATCAAAATCAGAACACACAGCATAGCCGACTCGGTTCTTCCCAGTGTTGTCACGTGACGCCGCTCCGTCTGTATAAAAAAAATCAAGTCAGGATTAGTCAGAGGCACCTCTTTCAGGTCTGGCCTGGGAGTGCATCTCTGCTCTATTGTGGCGATACAGTAGTGTGCCTCCCCTTCCTCTGGCGTGGGCAGCAGCGAGGAGGGGTTCAGCTGTGTGCATCCCTTCCCCGTAGTTCAAAGAGCACCGTGTTGTACCCCAGCCAACGAGCCGCAGAAAGGCGAGAGGCCCTCTGCTCTAACAGGATCAGGGAAACAGCATGGGGCACAAGCAAAGTTAGTTCAGTGTATCCCACAAGGTCACGTGATGCTAGGGCCGCTTTCTCAGCGGCAGCCACAGCCCGCAGGCAGCGAGGCAACCCTGCTGCCACGGGATCGAGTTTTGCTGAGAAGTAAGCAGTGGGTCTCAGTGGCCCTCAGTGAGGCTGCAAAAGTACCGACTGTTCCGTTCATCTCCAGTTGCTTTTCTCCCGGATCGTCCTCAATTCATATTGTGGGCTTTTGTGCCAAAGTGGAGGCTCATTTCCTCCTGATCCATACTACTGTCATCCCTGGAGCAGGGGTAGTTTATCTCTCATCTGAAAAAGAAATATCAGAACACAAAAAAAAACACAAAAAATGCCCACTTTCGCTTGTCAATCTTTTTCCCAATTGGGCAAAACATAACTGCATTGACAGGTGGTGTGTGGCATCAGGGCGGAGGCTGTAGCCAAATACAGAACAACAAAATGTATGTTTCTAATTTTATACTCCCCTAAATGTGAGTTTACAGACCAAAGTTGTCCTCCGCCCAATGACCGCTCACTGCGGTTGGACCGAATCACTGTCAGGGCAAACAGCAGAGGGAGGGACTCCCAATATCTTCAGCGAGGTATTTCATCTCCGAGTACTTTCCGCAGAGTACTTTTCTCAGAGTACTCATCCCAGAGTACTCTCACTTTTACACCTGTTCAATAAAGGTCGTTATCTTTGAATCTCTAGTACTTACACCGTATGCTGTTGACAAAAAATAATTATTCCATGATCACATTAAAACATTACAGACACATTTGTTATTCCATGATTCCGTTCAGCATTCCTCATTTCACTCCTTATTTCACACATCACACTCATATCACAGTCATATCACAGTCACATCACAGGCCGATTCCCCCACGTTAGTATTTTGGTCCAGTTTGTTAAGGTCGACGTAGTGTACTTTGACATGACACACAAACATATAACATACACAAAACATATAACACACAAACATGTAACACACACAGAAGGCCTGTACTTTTAACTTTGTTATATTTTTCCATGTCCAATTCTCATTGTCTCATGAGCTATTTCTTATTGTTGCAACTTTCAGAGCCTGCAGAGCTTTAAAAGAGTTTTCCTAAAAGGATCCATTTCCAACTTTGGTGTTTACCACGTGGTCTGTATTTCGGGCTTATCACAGATTGTGTCCCCTATATCTCTAATGAGCTCTTGTCACCTAAAAAATGTTTATTTTCCTTATTTTTTTTTTTTTCTTTTTCAATAAAGCCAGGTCGGATTCATTAAAAATGTAAATTAGTCTCAAACTTTAATACTTCACCTTTGTTTCACGATAAAAATGTTTTTGTTGCTCATTAAGTAGCACAGATAGTGGTGCCTATCTCAATAAACGTACTCCGTTAGCCTATCTTCCCTACATTGCATGAATTTTCAAACTCCAAGTTATTGTCTGGGAACGACCGGAGAGAGCAGCTTAGGTCGTTCGCGTGGTTGACCTCCAAATTTTGTGCGGGCGTCACTATCCACTTGTTGTGGCTAATAACTTAGCAATCTCAGGGTTTGGTGTCAATTTCCAGTGGTAGTTAACTTTTGGGACCGGTGCCTCCTTTTATTTATCTATTTTTAATTGAGTCTGCACATAAGGTCTCGGCCTAGTAGATTAACCGGGGACAATGGGGAATATAGAAAAGAATGTTTAAGCTGGTTGCCCTGAGAATCAAAACACGTTAGCGGTGACGTAAATTGCTCTTTAGTCGTCTCTCCGACGCTGCTAATTAGAATATGAAGCGGCCGCTCATTTTAGGGGAGACAGAAAGGCTGTCACTTTTAGCACAGAATTTGTTGCCCCGGAGTCATCCAGAATTTTAACTTGTACACCACAGGTTGTTAGCGTATATTACGGGCATGAATTATCTCTAAAAAGTGCCAATTGCAATTTGTTGTTGTTCAACTTACATGAGCGGTCGCTTTGGTGACGAATGTGAACCCAGGTTTGGTCAGTCGCTCGTGTTTCCTCCGTGCCCGCCTCTGCCGTCCTCTGGCCCCGTGTGAGCTTGAGCGTTCCTCTGCCTTTAACGCCTCCTCCGGTAACAGTCCTTCGACCCATGTCGAGCACACAGTCTTTCCGCCGGGCTGTGGAAGTTTTTCAAAGTCCGCAGGAGGCCCAGGTAGCCCAAAGCGTTAGCATGTGGTCCATGAGGGTTGGTGAATAACCCAAACGTGCCGGTCACAATGGCTTCTTCTGTTTGCGGTGCGGGAACAACTTTCAAGCGGGTTTCCGCGGGTGCGTTTGGTATATCACGCTGCCCCCTCCGTGGAGAACAGTCACGGGATTTGGAGCAGTTTCTCTCTGTGCTCCAAAGCAGTTGTCGGTGTCTCACATATTTGTTTCCCTCGCTTCTTCTTCTGTGGTTTCCTGAGCGTGTGTCTGTTTCCGCCTCTTCTTCTTCTGCGGTTTGGGCCCACTTCTCGCGGGGTCTCAGCTGGTGCGGGCGCCGCCTGTGGTTGGGGCGTGGGGCTGGTGCTTTGAGGCAGAGGACAGAGCGCGGAGGAAAGGCGCCGACAGACCTGGATAAGGGAGAGGGACAAGAGTAGTCTGCTTCATTTTTTAAAAACCCAACGCCTCGTTTGGGCGCGTACTTAGCATGGAGTTCTGCTCCTAGTGTGAAAGGGTTAGTAGGTGAGAGAGGGCGTGTGTGTGCGCCTGTGTGTTCTCCGCTTAGGTGAAAAGCGGAGGAGCTATTGTTTTTACATATTTCTTTCTCTAACCTCTTTTGCCGTGATATTCTTAAAACCAAGTATATTTTTTTTTTTTCTTCCCTTCTTCTTCTAAATTATCACGCAGATGACCTGCACCATAGGCAAGCACTTCATAGCTTGCATCTTCTAGATTGTTTTTTACCCATTTTCTCGTACGAACAATGGGCCTAACCCGCTTAGTCTCTCCCTGCTCCTACCCACTTTGGGGCGCTCCGTTCCCCCCCCCCGCTGGTTCAACCAGCGAGCGCGCGTTCTTGAAAACGGAGCGGTTCTGGCTGAAGACACTCAGAGATTCCAGGGTCGCTTACAATGCGATACTAACGCGCAGCCGCTAGTTTCAATCTAGAACAAAAAGCCCCCAAAAAATCCCGCACACAGACTATGCTGTGGCAATGAATGAAATACCCCAAAAATACATAAATAAACAAATCCCCGTGTCGACTTAAGTGCTGCCCTGGGCTCGTTACGCAGATGAAAAGACAAGACTCACCAGATTAGGTTCTTTTTGGTCTTGTGTGGCAAAAGGATTCCTTCCGTGCGCGGGACGAGCGCGCCCTCCTTTGTCTCCAAAAAGGAACAGAGGCTGGTGATCCAGGTCGGCCAAACAAAGCCGCTCGTCCCCGCCGAAAGTATCCATGCCAAGACATGTCAGCAACGCCAAATTGTTATAGAATTATATACCCCATGAAGGAGGAAACTCAAAGGTCCTTTGTCTGGTCAAAAGCGTAAGTTTATTGTTCACGCACGTGCGGAGGGCCAGCACATCCACTCAAAAGCAGCATGTCCCAGCTCTGGGGGCCAGAGCCCCGAGCTTCCTGTATACAAGACACACACCAAAGATAGTCACGCCCACAACGGAGCGGAGGGGGCCACCGGTGAGGAGGCGCACAGGAAGCGCCGGCGCTATCCCCTGTGGTGGCAGTGGCATGGGGTGTGAACAGACAGACAATGGTGGAAATGCAGGTCATACAGATGCAAGACGGAAAGACACAAGGGTGTGACAGACAGCAGGGACCTTCACAAAGCTCAGCATGGCGTCAGAAGGTCGTCTGCATTGATAAAAGGCCTTTGACGTCCGTGTATTTGCTGCGGCTGGTTTTAATGTAATTACTCCAAAAACTGTCACCACAGGGCCCATGTGAAAAAATGCATCTGCGCATGCGTCAGCCGGCGCAGCTCCATTCATCCAAACGAGTGACTTCAAAAATTCACAACAACTGGTCCAAAAAAATTCACTCCCCTCAGCATTGACACACATGTGGAACGGAGCTTTGGGCCAAGAGCCACTTTTGGACCATCCTGTAAAGAAGTTTTTGAGAGGTAAGAAGATGCTATATGTTAGCATTGGCTAATTCTTATTCTGGGTCCACCCCCATCGGCCCGGGGTGGTATTGCAGCATGTCAGCGCACGTCATTTTGGCCACTTTTGATCCAGGACCCGCCTCCACTGGTCCTTCCCCCACATTAGAATGAGTCTAGTGTGTGTGAATGGTTGGTGGTGG